CATTAAAGCCAGTCACACGGTCAGAGTGCAAAACTTTCTCCAGCTCGACGGCTCCTGCTCCTCGCTCTCGCCCTGCCGCTCGTTCTCGCCTTCGCACAGCACATTTTACTGATTTATGATATGAGCGTTCGCTTCAAGCTAATTCCAAATCCCGCATCCTTCAGCAAATGAAAAGTCAATACGCCACATTTGATTAATAATCATATTATATGCTTTATTAAGCATCCAGACAAAACAGAAGCTGCCGCCCTGCAACAGCTCAATGTGTTGCAAGTCAGGACCGGGGGTGTTGGGGGGGCAGCAGAGACTGAAGTTTGTATACCCTCTACTAATGATTCTAGGGCATGTGCCAAAATTAATTTAGATTAATTTGTTTCTTTGCCGGGCATATATCGTAAATTTAATGATCTATTACATTAGTCCAAACGGAGATTTATAAATGAATAAAAATATTGAGCTCTTAACTACGTAAATAAATGTTTGTAATGGAGTTGCAAGAAAATAAAGCACCTCATTTCGTTTTAAGAATGATTAGTATAGAAATTTGATAGGAAACAAGGGTTCCAGTTTCAGGCTCCATTTTCGAATGAAGGAATGCCTTTTCAGCCGATTAAGGCTAAAACACATTGCGAATTTTAGCGAGTTTGTATCTTGATTCAACGTAGTTAAACAAAATACTGCATTTATTACTAAAATGTTATTCTAATATAGTATATCATTTGCAAAATACACAAAGGAAATAAATATTACAAATTTCTATGCTGAATTCACTCCCCTTAAGACAACATCATCCAACAATTTGCAGCTAGTTAGATGATTATAAATTATGTCTTTCCATATTATAATACCATATTTCTGCAAGCAAATTGGCTTTTCAGTAGTTTATTAAATAGAATTTTGCAGACAAGTAGCTTTTGTTTGAATTTTTCGCACAGTTCTGGGCTGCAGGGCATCTGGTGGATAGGTTCTTCCACTTGTCTATAGTTTGTCTATTGCGTTTCGTGTTTATTTTTGTTCTTGTATCGTATATCCATTGTTATGTAACTCTTTTGTTTGGCCACAGTTGACTTGAGCCATTTGTTTGGCTGGCAGCAGCTTTTGTAAAAATATCTTTATCATCTGACAAGTGCAGACAGGGCTGTGTCCTGGCCAGAGATGGGGCTACAGCTACCCCATCCATATCCTATGCCCGTCTAGAGGCCTGCCCACAAATTATAATTACAAATGATATATTTTGGCGTTTTTATTATAAGACTGTGCATAAAATAAATGATCTAAATGCCTATTAGAGCTCTCTTCTATGACAAACGTGCAAAACTTTGCCCGGTTTGCCTGCTCTTCAAATTTTTTGTTTTTTTTTCGTTTACTCGTATACCCTACAAACGTTGGAGAGGTTGGAATTATTTATTAATTTGGATTATCTATTAGAAAGTTGATAGAAAAACGCTTGAATACTTTTAATATAATCTATATTATATTTTATTTATGGAGGATATTCTTCCATACGTTTAAGCCCTAGTTTGGAGACAAAACTAAATCATTTTTAGCAGATTATTTGTATGCATTTTGTTCTAATGCTATCGCCAAGTCTATCGCCTTGGGGGATAGATTGCATTCTCACAAAACTCTCACTTGGAAGGATAAAAAGGCGCTTATAGTATTTTCTGTTTGCACATCGCCCATTTATTATCCAATTATGTGTTAAATTAGGGCATAGCTAGTTCGTTGTCTTTATTTTTATGCGTAAATTCTTCTCCTTTTCTTATTTCTATAAATATTTGATATGGCGAACTGGGGCTATCAATGGACTGCTGTGAGGCCGGGCAGGGCAGGGATGGCACTGGGATACTGAGAGGGGTGCGGGTCGACGTCGCATTGTTGTGCGTAGAAATATCTAAGCTATGCGGCGTACCGAACCGGGCATAATCAAAATACAATTGTGCGAGGATGTGCGTGCGTGTGTGTGCGTTTCTTTGAGTGTGTGTAAGTTTGTGTGTGTGTGTTTGTGTTTGTAAGTGTTGTAACGCGGGCACAAATTTATTTATTTGTTTTTTTTTTTTTGCGCTGCTGCTGTTTGTTTGGCAGCAGACCTCTACCTGAGCCAGGCAGACGCTCTTTGCTCTCAGTTGCGCTTGAAAGTTTGCTATAAACTGGAAGGCAGAGCGCAAAACTTAGCGAGAGAGAAACTAAGAAGAGAGGGAGAGAGCGAGCGAGCCAAACGAGAGTATGAGCAAGCTAATATTAAAGCATGAAAACGCACGAATAATAAATTAATTAATTATAAATTGAAACAAGAAGAAAACGAAACAGCACAGCGCGGCACATAGAATATGTGCGTGTGAGAGCGAGAGAAGATGAGAAAAAGAGAGAGAGGGAGAGTGCGCGCGTGTCGGCAATGTGACTAGTTTGCAGAAATCAAGCTCAGCTCCTGTGCAAGCTCACGACTGGAAGCAGTCGAGCGGAGCTCGTGTGCGCGTCGGTTCGTTCGTTCCGTTGTTACGTTCGGCTTTTGTAGCTGTGGCCCCAGACTCGTGCCTGGTCGCTGGCAAAGGACACAAAACGTTTTCGTGCGCTGCGCTGACAACATCCTCGCAGGACCAATAAGCGGACGGTGCGTTCAAGGAAAAACTATATAGATGTGTGTGTGTGCAGAAACTTTTAATCGTGTGTGAACAGTTGAAAAATGATTGCACTTTAATATTACTAGAAAAGAGTTGCCTGAAAACAAAAAACAAAAAAAAAAAAACAAATAAAAGCTAACAAAAAGCAAAGCAAATTGCAAAAATCACAACGATATTGAAATTAGTGCCATCAAATTAAAGCCGAGCCAAATTTTATATAATCAAGCAATAAAAAATGACAGGCGAACGCTCGTTTGTGTTTGTGCTCGTGTGCCTTTGTGTGCGTGCCTGTTTGTGTGTGTGTGTGTGTGTGTGTTTGTGTGAGTGCAGAAATGTTAATACCATTGTATCAAATGTGTTTGGGTGTGTTTGTGTGCCTGCGTGTGTGTACGTGTGCGTGTCTTCTCGTGCCTTCAGGCTTTTTATAAAGAGGTCAAAACGTTGCTTTCGTTTTTCTACGGTTTTTTGCAGTGTGCAAAGGTTTTTTGTTGTCGCTGCCTAAAGACAGCAAATTTAACAGACAGCCGAGAAAGAAAAAAAAAATAGGCAGCCCCTTATTTCGGCACCGCCCCGGTTAAAGTGCTGATGTGTGTACGAGCAAATGATATAATAGTTGTAAAAACTTGAGCACAGCTCAAAGAAGCGCTGCTTTAACCGTAAATTGCTGCGGTTGTTTGCGAGGGAGAGAGAAAGCTACTAATTGCACATTTTTATAGCATACTTTTAGTTGTCGCAATTAATGCCGAGCACAATTATTCAAAAACACAAGTTTTGCTGTTTCAAATGTGCTCCACAACGGTATCGAAAGCTTAGCTTAAACTGTTTGAAAAATTATGTGTTGCAAAAAATTATCATGTAAAAAGCAAGTGTGAACTTTGACAGGTGTGTTGTACAGGATTTCTAAGCTTGGGCTAATAGAAAATAAATTGATTGAATAAATAACAATCAAATCGAGTCTAAAGCAAAGTTACCATAAATTGAACATTTCGATGCTCTTAATATTTTAAATATTATAATTTAACGGCAACAAATTACAATTAAGCATTTATAAAAACTACAAGAACCAGTTTCATAACGGAATGAGGAGGGTTAAAAAGGAAAAAAATAAAATATCAGAGATATAGTTAAAAAAGACAATATTTTTTAAAATTGTATCGAATAACAATTCTTAAAAATAACTTCAAAAGATAAAAAATAATTAAAACAAGCTTCTGTTTTTATTATTGTATGTATTTAGATTTATGTTTATTGTAAAACTCATCCATAAAGATCTGCAAATTTATGCTTATTTTCAGATAAGATTTGATATATATTATTTATGCAAACAATGATTTTTTCAATTAATTTATTATACGATTTTTAAGCAAATAACTTTGAAACAATGGGATTGGTCTTAGTATTCGATAAGATTACAATTACATTCAAATTTAAAATTTAAAAAAAAAATTGCACAATGCGCTGAACACTATGATATACTTGTTTGGTTCTGACTGAAAGTGAAAGAGCTACAAACTTATTCGAACCCTACGACAAACTCATAAAAAACTTATACAAAGCTTTAAACTCTAGGAAATATTTAAACCTCTTCTAGTAAAGATTGTGGATAGATAGATTGTTACGCAATTTGCAGCTAAACAAAATTTTACGCAGCTCTAGAGAATCAAATGCCATAATTAATAATAATGCCCTTAGAGTCGAAATTCCTGGCTAAACTTTGGCCTAGGGCTAAAAATACTACAAGAAAAAAAGAAAACAGAAAAAAAAACACACAAGCTAGCTGTGAAAAGTGCGAGACTCAAAAGCACACAAACACACAGACATATAGAGCTAGGGGCTGCGGATGGCGTGGGTGGGGAGTAGGACATTAGCGGCAGCTACTCAAAGCATAACAATGAACGTAACCGCACATAGAGCCCAGAGACAGCCACAAGCAGCTACATAAAAAATGAAGCAATGAACGAAAGAGAGCGAGAAAGAGGGGGTGTTTGCTTGTGCGTGTGAGTGTTACCTACTAAGCTAAATGAAAGTAAAAATTGTAAGCGTAAGCTAAAACAACAAACACAGTAGCAGCAGCAGCAGCAATAGTAGAAGCACAGAAGAAAACGAAAGCAATAACAGAAACGTGAGCAGCGATAAGAACGCTGAGATAAGCAGCAGAGCGTGTGTACGCAGGGAAATAAAACAGAGAGAAAGAGAGGAGAGAGAGATGGTGAGAGTGAGAGCCGGAGAGCGTGTATGCATGTGCTGCACTTGCAGAGAGAGTGTATGCGTGAGTGTGAAACCGACAGGAAAGAGCATGAGCATTTTACAGCTCAAAGCTATCGTGCAAAAAACAGTTTGACTAACTTTAACGGTTTATATCGTTTGCTCTCTTTACAGATTTAACAGCTCGTGCAAGTTCAATGTAAATGCGAAAATGTAAACAAAAGCAACGCACGCGCAGCAGCAACAGCAACAACAGCAACGAGAACAACAACAAGAAAAACACCAATAGCAGCTATAATATACACTCTGCCATAAACTGGATCTGACTGCCTTCCAGCTGGGGACCGTTGTCGTATCCCTTCCAGTGGGCCTGCAGCACACGGCTAGCGTCGCTGGCAGCGCCACAACAACGTCAGTAGTGGTGTCCTGCTAGTCGTGCTGTGTCCTGACGCGCGCGCTACACTGGCAAAACTCAGGGAAATTTTTCCACAAGCACACACATACACACACGCACACATACGCACACAACAGAGCGTTGCTTTACCTTTGCCAAAAATAAAGAAAACACATACCTTCACATGGCCTGGCCAAGAGCCGTCATCAAATACGAGCGCAAACTCAACGTAGTGGAAATGCTGCGGCCAGCGTCAACGTCAGCGTCAGCAGCAGCCGCAGCAGCAGCAACAACATTTGGTTGCTCGTCTAGTATGTTGCTGTGTTAATTGTTATTTATGTATAGTAGTGTATATAAATTTGTGTGATATTGCAACAACAATGAGCAAAAGTTGTGCAAATGCAAAAGCATAGCAGCAATTAAGCCAGAGCGAGAGATAGAGAAACAGAGAGAGAGAGAGAGAGAGAGAGAGGGCGAGCGTGCTAGCGATAGCGAGCAAACTGTTTTTAGACGGCGCAGCAAAGTCAAAAAAAAAAGTTTCAGCAAATCCAAACAACGACAACAAACGGTTTTGCAACAAGAACAACAACAACAAGCAACCACAGCAACAACAGTAACAACTTTTATCGGGTCCAATGTTGCAGCAAACAACATGCAGCAAACAACAATGGCAACAGCAACGAGAACAAAAACAACAGCAACAGCAGCAGCATCAGCATCAGCAGCAGCAACAACAACAGCAGCAGCAGCAACAAACAGCTAAAGCTCAAAGCTGTAAGAACATGCGCCCTGGCAACATGCGCCTTAGCAACATGTTGCTACCCAGCAATAGCACAACAACAACGATAGATTTTAACAGTCGCCGGCGACGCGGTCGTCTACGAAGCGCGCACAAATGTTGCCAACAAGTGCCAGCAACAAACGCAAATGTTGCTTATACACAACAACAACAACAACAACAAACGAAACCAAAACAAACCAAACACCATGCAAAGCTTTTGTTATCAATAATGTGCGCGTGCATTGTCGATTGTGTAAATATTTTAAAACGCTTAGTATTATTAACATTAACAACTAACAAAACAAACAATAACAACAACAACCACAACAGACACGCCCATAGGCGTGTTCAGCCGCTTTACTGTTTACCGCTGCTTTTGCTGCTGCTGCTCTGTAGCGCCCAGGCTCACAAGCCCAAAAGCGCCACTCAGCACAAGCAGCAACAACAACAACAACAGCCGGCGCACAACAACGATGTCACGTTTAACAACATGGCCGACGTGCCGCCCACTTATCAAGTGAAATCATCGCAAACATCGAACGAGGACGAAGCTGAAATCCTTTATCAGTCTTCTGAAATGTTTGGCGAGGAGGAGCTGGACCAGGAGGAGGGGCGTGAGCTAAACGGCCGGCTGGATAATGTGCCCTATCAACGCAGTTCCAATGGTAAGTGCAAACATCTTATATCTAAATCCCAGCCAAGCCACATTTACAATCTCTGAGAGACCCAGTCGAAATTCTACAGACCTTGACCCTTTTGCTCCTTGAAATCGCCTACAATGTAACTTTGTAAGTCCGGCAGGACTATCTAGATGACCTGTCCTGATAACTGTCCTGAAGGAAACTGGAAATGCATTGTCTGCCTTTGAGCGCGCTTTTAATTCGAAAAAGATTTCCTTGGATTATAATCTGGAAGCTGCCAGCGGTTATTGCCCGGCTTTGCCAAGTTTTTCACTTAAAATGTTAGACAAAATAAATATAAGAATGCATTACGAAACTTTTGGCATGTTCTTGAGTATGTCAACGGGCGAAACACCTTCGATGAAATGTCCTTGGATCTTGTTATAAGCACATGAAATGGCATTGAAAACGTCAGCGATAGGCATGTCATCAAGAGCAAGATTTTCATCTGGGTTAGTACTCCCTCAGAGTACACACACCCACATACACACACACATGCACGCACATACGCACACACTTGCGCAAAACAAACACGGCTAACGCGTGATTTGGCCTTTTGCCTGCGACTATGACTAATGGAATTTGTATTTAAATGAGGCAAAGGGGACAGAAGGAAAGCAGCTGTATAAGTGATTTATGCGACAGGCAATGAACAATTCAATCAAGAAAGGGTGGGTAGGGGGTGGTTCATAAAGATTTCTCTCGGAGCATCAAATTGAATTAGACTTGCATAGCTCTGCGTGAGCTGATAAAATATATATGGGTATATGCGTATGTGCGATATTATATCATAATATTTAATAAAACCAAGCAAAAGATATGCAATTTATAGAAAAGTAACATTTAAATTTGACAAGCGTAAATTAAAAAATATTTGATTGGAAAGAGAATATTTCACAATTATTTAAGATTTCTTGCCTTTCCATTTAAAAAGCTGATACAAAGAAGTAGGCCTTTTATATTATTTTTGATGCTGCTTGCTGTCTTATATATTTTTTGCAATAGATTTTTGAGAATACAGTATTTAACAATCTGCATATTTTCCGCTATTGTTTATTATAGAATGAATCAAAGTCAATATCAAAATCATTATTAATATCCGGACTTTGGAAGAAATTTTCGTTTTTTTTTCTTTAAGCCTTTGCACATTTTATTTCTTCTTAATTTGTATTTCGATATTTCACACAACATTTATTTGTATTGTTCCTCAGTTGAACCCTGCGTATACGTCATATTTATATGTTACTTAATTTCATTTGGTTCTCTTTCCTAACAAATACAAAAATGATTTATTATTAAAATTTATATTGTTTGTTCCTAAGAGAATATCGTAAAACATTTATTGAAATTGTTTCTAAGTTGAACGTGGCGTATACGTTATATGCAATATGCCCGCAATCCCATAAACTCGCGCATAAATTACGTATACGCAACGTTAGCAAACATAAATAATTGAAGCGGCCAGAACAGCTGCTAACACACACAATAACATCACACACACAAATTACACACACGCACACACACTCTCGCGTATCGTAACAACGAATTCTGAGCTATTCTTCAGCCTGAGCTCAACTGCATTTGTGCATTTTTTGGGGCTTGGGGCAAAGTCAAGTTGGGAAAACCTCGTGTTCACCTTTTATTTGGCCAACTGCTGCTTACGTTGCGGGCCACACAGAACTTTTTATTTTTTATTTTTGGGCCAACAACAACAATTAAACACGACGTGGCACAATGTTTGCCTAGGCGAGCGCACCCTGGAGCCATTTCTCATTTTAATGACTCAACTGTGCTGTCTCCCAGGCAGCTCACCACTCGCTCTCTCTCTCTCTCTCCCTCTGTCTGCTCTCTTTATTCATTTCTTTGCGCCCGTCTGTTTTACTTTCTATCTGTCTGCTGCACACACACATGCGGCAAAGTGGCCGACAACAAAAGAGTGGGCCAAAACAAGCGGCAGGCGAGTTATATTTTGTGGAGCTTTTTCGAATTTAGCGATACTCTATAGAGGATGGCTGAATGGAGAAATTGAAAATGGAATGGAGAAAATCTCTGTCTGTTACACTTATGAAATTTTTAATAGGTCCGCGGGGGTGGGAGTGTAAATGAGTTGAAGAGTATGCGCAATATTATCATAATTGATCATATAGCTGCCATTTAAACAATAGGTAAACATTTTTTGGTCGTTTAATATACCCAAGCTGCCACGGGAACAATCGGAATTAAAATTTTTCTATTAAAATAATTAAGTGTTATCAAAAGCACATTTGTTATATGCGTCTATAATAATAATAAATCTAAAACACCCTGTGAAGATAAATGCGGGTATAAATATATTGCGGCTTATGTATTTCTATTGAATGACCACAAATTGCAGAAGCTCTTTAAATGTACATCCTACGCCTATTATTATATATATATATATATATATATATATAAATGTGCCTAAATGCCTCGTTATGCTCCCATGTGACCTCATGCAGGGACAGTGTAACGGAAGCACACATACACACACACGAAACTAAAACAAAAATATTTTGTTGTGTGCTTTGGGGCGCAAATTGCAGTTGAGCTGCAACCGCAAAACGACAACAGCTACAACAATCAGAAATAAAGCAGAGCAGCAAATATAACAAGAGCAACAACAACATCAAGGACTAGATGTAGTCTGTAAATCAAGCTTTAAAATTAACGCAGATTGCCGGAACAAGCGACGCTACGAGCAATTAACATGAAACCAAAGCAGTTCCAGAAAGTGTCCAAAAAGAGCAGACAAAGCGCGCGAACACACACAGAAAGAGAGGGAGAGATAGAGAGTGAAGGAGAGAGGTAGAGAGAGAGAGAGAGAAAATATAGGTGCATGTGTGCGCACAGCGCTGGCCATAAAATTAAGAGCAATTGCCACGGTTAAAAAAATCTTTAAAGGCGAATTCAACTAGAAATAAAAATAATAAAAGAATATAAATAATAAAGAATGGTTATCTGGAAAACGTTAATAAATTGAAAAATATTCTCGGTATTCAAATGTTTTTTTCTTGCTTGTACCAAAAACCTAAACATTTCGATTGGGGTTTAGTAAAAGTAGTACATGCATGCATCTTCTAAGTACATTAAGAGACTTTAGCACTTTTTAGATTACGTTCCGTTTGAATACTATTACGTAACGAATCCCGGCCTTTTATTTATGACCTCTTTTAAAAACATTCAAAAAAGAAAATGAGTAATCACTTTATGGTATTATTTTGCTAAGCAAATTCGCCCTAAAAACGATTTTAAGGGAAAATACACGTGTGTGTTCCCAATTAAGTGTCTCGGGCTGTAGAGGGCATAATATGTATGTGTATACATATGTATAAATGTGCATTGGTCTACTCGAAACGACCTTTGTTGGAAATGTTCGTGTCACTCAGTGTGTGTGTGAGTGTGTGTGTGTTTGGTTTCGCCTTGCTTTTGGCTTTTCTATTTTACCATCGACCCAAATTGCGCGCGCTGCTATAATAAAAACAACAACAACACATACACACACACATACACACACAAACAGTAGCTTATACTACACTTGTATTTGTGTGTATGTGTGTGTGTGTGTTACGTACTCGCACGCTAACGTGACTGTTAACGACGTTTGTCGTGGGTGGCAAAAAGCGAAGCAGAAGAAGTGGCAGCAATCTCAAACCCCCAAAAAGCGCTGCAAAAGACCTCGACCCAAACGGCAGGCGGTCAAAATATGTTAAAAAAAAAAATAAAATACAAAAAGCACAAAAAAAATATTAAGCATAAGTATTTAAAAGGCAAAAAAAAAAAAAATAAAACAAAATAAGAGAGAGAAAATAATGATTGAGCTGCTAATGTGAAAATGTAGGAAAAGCGCAAGGAAAAGCTAACCAAACAGACGGCAACGAAATTTAAATCGATAAATCAAAATGCCAGCAACAACAACAACAATGGCAAAAGGCTCGCAAGGACGTGCGACTTGCACGCCACAAACAGCTATATACGGGTGGCTTGCCCGTGGGTGTATGTGTATATAGTGTACGTGTATGTGTGTGTGTGTGTGCATGCTTTGTGGGCGGCAGGAAGTCGCTTTGCGGCGCTGAGGACAAATGACAACATTTGGCCGACTTTTAATTATTGACATTCCCACTTTTTCCCCTTGCTTTGAGGCCACTAATTGCCAGTGTGACCGTGCCAGTGCTTAGCCAGAGTAGTCAGCTATGTCTGCAGTGTATGGACAATTTCAGGGCCACACACAAGATGCGCGCAGGTCTTTAATGTGAAGAAAATCCAAAAAAAAAAATCTCTATTATTCTTTGTCATGTGCTGATTTTAGGTAGCTTATAGCTGGTAGCATTAATTTCGTGTAAAATGTAAACGCTGTCGAAAGTAGGTTACGATGGGATTATACGTTACGTGACGGAAAATATAGGTGATTTTCGTCTGCATTAAAAAAAAAGGAAAAAGCTTGCGAAAACTGCATGCAATTTAGTTGCATATACCTGATATTATGATACCTTTATTTAACAACTAGCTACAACCCAGTTCGAAATATATCATTAACAATTTAGAATTTTATTATAATTTTGAAAAGTTGACATTTATATCTATGTGCATGTTAAATTATCCATTAACTTTAATATGCTGTATGTACCCAAAAATTGCAAGTTCTTCTCATGCATTTGGCTCTAAAACTGTCATTGCGTTTGTGCTTGCGCTTGGGCAGAGTTGCCAGCTGAATATGTGCATGTGTCTAAGTGCGTTTTAAGCTTGCCATCAACTTTAACAATCACTTCTATGCATTTCATTGCCATTTTTATTATTCCCTGGTTTTGAAGTGACTCAGCAGGAGTTTTAGATATTTAATATCAATCCAAGTCTTAGCTAATCAATTTACAATTTAAAACAACAGCTGCTACACAATATGAATCATGATATTGTCACCTCTTTCCCCCTCTCTCTTTCCCACTCTCACAGACAGATTTTAGGGGGATTTATTTAAGGTCCCGAGGCACCTGTTATATCTAAGTGATTCATTTCAATCGCTGTGCTAAAACCGGTTACTAAATACAAATTCAATTTACGTGCATCAAAACTTTACATGAAATGCATATGCATAAATTTGTGCATTTAATATTTGACTCAAATAATTTTCATACGTAAATCCAATTGGGAGCCTAATTGGTCTAGTTGACATTTAGATTTAATTATTTATGGCATAGCTTACAATTATGTCCTGCATAAATAATTGATAACACATGTAATTCAGTTGTAAGCTATTTAATTTGCGCTCAAAATAAATGCAATTATCCGAATGCCAAATTTACGCTTTATAAACGGTTTGGTTTTAATTATAGCCTTGTGTTAATATATAGAGGCCAGAAATTTAAAACCATTTATATTTTCACCTTAAGGCTTACATAAACATCCGCTAAAATGGATTTGAAAATCCTATGATATATTGGGTATTGAATATTTGCTTTATTGATATAGGGCTCATGGGAAATGTAAATGAATATAAATATTTGGCTTATAGAGTTACGCTCCAATCAAATTGTCTGCTTGACAACAAATTTTTAGCTTCATTTAAAATAGCCGGGAAGTATAATAAAGCATAACTGAGGTGATATTTGATTACAGTCCTCTAACAAGAGTTTTTAGCCACAAAGTCTTAATTAGGCTTTGAAGTTTGCTACTCTGATCTTCAACTTAGATACATTTTTCTAATTAAACAACTGACTAAATAGCCATTTATTATTTTATAATTTGTACTAAATACAAACTATTGTATAAGCAAATGTAAATAAGGTATTCATTAGTCTAGCATACACCACTTGAGTACGCTTAAATGTTCTCAGTTAGATCTTGAAATACCTAAGTTGACTCAGGGAAGGCACGTGCTGTAAAGATTGGTTTTTTTTCTATATAACAATTGGACTTTCCGAAAAGGTCTTACAAAGAAATTGAATGGTTCATTGAAAGAAAAAAACACATATATATATTAATAAATAAGTAGAATTTTCCAGCATTTTAACATGAGCTAGAGCAGAAATGCATTAAAATTGTGGTCCCCCATAGATATATATTGTTTAGCTGACCCACTCGTATATTGTTTTTCTGGGCTCGAATGTATTTATGAAAATTGCATTTATACCAAGAAATCTTTGCAAACTCTAGTCAGATGAAATTTGCAGGTGATCCATAAATAACATGCGAAGTTTCTCAGTTTCGTGAGAGCATTTATTTTTATTTGTTTTTGGCAAGCCCAACAGATAGAAACCATAATTTTAGCATTTTTCAAGCCGCACGGAGAGCCCAACTCTTAACTATTTATGACTTGGCCCCAATGGAGCACGTCTTGAGCCTGATTAGCTACAAAGTGTTGTTGTTCCTGTTGTTGTTTTTGGGTGGATAGGGTGGCCAGCAACAAACTTTTTACAATAACTGGAAACTTGTGTGCAAACGCTGCGAAAATGTGGACTTTGAGGGCTTGCAGGTGGCTGCGGTCCTTAAAACCTTCATCAAAGCGGCGCAACGACAGGCTCAGGCTCAGCTCGTAACTGTGAACTCATAAAGTTTATGTGGCAAGGCTTAAGTGGCTCTCGTTCAACGTTGCCACATTGGCAGTTGGCTCAGTTTGCTGCATTGATTCAACAGCCCACTTGACAACCCTAGCGGGGCCAGGGACGCCAGCAGCGTCGACGTCGACGCTCAGGCAATACCCAAAGCTGTCAATTTGCATGTGCATGTGCACGTTACCCATTTCTCGTTTCGTTTTCATATATTTTTTGTTCCCATTCCATTCGTTTCTGGTTGGCCGCTAATCGATTCGCCTGCGCTACCTTGAAACTTGCGCCGTGCCAAAGCGCGCTGTCTCTCTGATAAATTAGCAGCTGCTTCACAAAGCGTGAAACCATTCGGCTACTATCGAAGCACACACACACACATACATATGCTTACATATATATATATATATATATATAGGGCACTCGCTTAGCTTCCGCTTTGCAGGGCAGCCCTTCCTTTACCCATAATGAACTTCCGGCCCAATGGCGTCGGCTTCGTGTAATTGTGTGCGTTTGTTCAGCCGTGATTTATGCACATTGATGACGTCGCAAAAAAACGAACAAAAAGTTAAAAAAAAAAAGACATGAAAAAAATCGAGCGAGCGAGTTAACTCGTTTTTTGCTCTCTATTTGTGCTTACTTTTGATTTTCTTATCTGCAGCATTTAATTACGCTTGAACTTAACCCATTGAAGCCAATTCTTTAAATATCTTTAAGATAGCAAATTTATCATTAATTATATGAATATATTCGTAGCTCTTAAAGTTTTTGTGAATGAACACAACTTTTTTCTAAAACGTGCCATGATTGTTTGTCTAAACTTTCTTCATTCATAAATAATCAAAACGTCAAGCTGTGAACAAAAATAAAAAAAAAACACTTCTTCAGATGATTAAAAATTCATAATTATAGCACCTACTAGCACTATTATCAAAAGTGTTAAGTTCAAAATTATAACAGATTGATATTTTAATATTTAAATTGGGCGCTAGTGTCCAAATATAGTATAAGAATATAGGGTGAAGGAGTCTGAAAAATAGATGAGGTGAATTTAATAAAGCTTTGTTGGCAGCAAAAAAATGGGGACACCGTAGATTCGAAGACATTATTAAAATAATGAACACATTAAGAGAGATAGCAAAGTGAAGGGAAAGACTGCGAGGGAGAGTGAAACCCTTAATCTTTTATACTATAGAGTATAATAAGCATACAGGAAAATTTAAAATAAAAATACTGATTTTACTGTTAACAGTATTTTGAAGAAGTATCAGTAGATACTCTTTGTTAAAGTGGATAGTGTCAGCTAACGTTTGGGTATAGCAGGGCACCCTAAAACATCTAGGTCTTATAGTCTCTAAGATCGGTTGGGCGACAAGTTAATCTACAAGATTATGAATCATTTTATTGGCTCTCGCTGTAGAATCAGACAACATGTCTCAATCTGGTGGAACGGCCTACAGGGCATTTATAAAATGTGATGCCTATATGCCTACTATAAGCTACAGTTTTATGTAATTAATAACGAGTTAATAAATAACATGTCTTCAACGATGCCATTGCAGCTTTAATAATATATGCTTTAAGAAGTTTAGTTTGTGGCATACAACCTTTTAATACCCCATTTGTAACTGTAGGGTATACAAATATTTTATATGCTAGCTACGTGCTTTAACGCGTATTGAATTTAAATTATCTCGACTAAAGTTGAGTATTATGACATGCACAGCTCTCTTTAAATAATTATACAAAAATACATATATAAAAAACAACGATAAGACTTTGAAAACATTTTGAGCTTAAGTTTTTATTTATACCAGCTAAAACTACATTTTTCTTTGATTTGCTAAAAGAGCCTTATAAATAAAAGCTGAATTTGACGATTAGATAACTTAATGCACATTATATTGGTTATTTGGGTGCCCTACTTTCAGCATTGGCACACAATGGGTTAATTTATAACGTATGTTTATGTATATATATGTATGCATATATATATATATATATGAAGCGCTGACTGTTCCATCTCACTTAGTCACGCGATTCCAGGCGCTGTCGTGGCGCTCCGCCTCGAAGAAGTTGCAAAGCGTTTGTGGCAGATTCTTGCGTTTCGCCTCATTGCCCTGAATGCGCGGAGGCGTATATGTGGGCGTGGCTTTTGCTGTTGCTGTTGCTGCTGTGCTGCCGCTTTGCCTAATGCGCTCGACTGGCGCTTCCTGCGCCTGCTGCGTCTGACCCGTGACCTGCGTGCGCCACTCGTAGACTCGCGGTGGCGCCACACTTGATGGCTGCCTCAGCTGTATGGTGGCATGGCTGATGAAAAGCTCCGGAATTGCTGCTGCGGCTGCCATCTGAGCGATTCGAGTTTCAATTTGCAACTGTTTTGCAAATACGAACGCGACTTTGCTGCGGCTTTTGTTCTCTACTCAGCTGCGAGAGTCAACACATGACGCATAACTAGCTCGGTTCTCTGTCTGTGTTAGTGTGTGTATGTGTGTGTGTGTGCATGAGTGGGTGTGTGCGGTTTGCTCTAGAAGATTTCTGAGCTGACGCTCGGCTCGATTGCATGCGGTTAGTCAAATTGTGACTGCGGCATTTTGGCACTTGAAACTGGTTACCTCAATTGGCCTCCAAGTCTTGACTAACTCAGGTAGGCTGGCGGGTAGATAGGCAGACAGAGAGACGGCACGCGCCCACATGCCACCAAATGTTAGCTGAAAAAAAAAAAAACCAAGAATAAATAATAAATACAGCAAAAATCAACAAAATAAACAACCAGTTATTTGTTCTTACCTTTTGGATAGAATTTATTGAAATTTTATTGCTCAACTCGAGGGGTTGGCGCACTTTAAATCTAAATACACTTGCTTTGAATCTTATGATTTTGTCATTAAATGTGTAACGCTTAAAAACATAAGCAATATAGTTTCGTGAAAAGTAGATATAGACGAATCTATTAAAACTAAATAATGCCCGTATTAAGCTCCTTTTTATTTTTAGCATCTTTGGGGCAATATATACTTAATTTTCCATTATATGAACAAAAGTTTAATCAAACTTGTCTTTTATTTGCTTGCCTACATGTCTTTAAAACCTTATTAATATCGATTAGTTTTATACAGCTCTTGACAATAACATCTTAACCTAACTTATTATTATTATTATCCAAAACTAGATTAGAAATTAGCTTTCATTTTCTTGAGATTTCGTGAGATTTAAGTATTTATCAGTTACACATTTATAAAGAATGTGTCCCTAAACCTTCAACTTTATTCGATCTACCTTTGTATCTTGGTATGTCTTATAAATGAAGAAACTGACAATAAAGAATTTGAAATGGGATTCCATATTGATACCCTAAGCCAGAGATATTTCAGTTTGCTGATAGCTTATAAATATGTCCTAAACTTCTGATAATAATAATTATTTGTGTAAATGCATTGCTTTTTATGATTATACCCATGTACCCGTTTATTTACTGCATCCTCACCTGACATTCATAATCTGCAAATTTTTATTTAATACCAAACTTCCTCTTGCTTATCTTCTGTTTGTTGCCGTACCTAATTAAATCTGTATTTTTCTAATGTACACACTTTATACAACCATTTGCATATCTGGTAAATATAACTTGTTTTTCTTCTTCCACTGCTTTATTTACTTCTCGAACTATTTTGATTACTTCCCTATCGCCTGTCGTCTTCCGTCAGCTTGCCTAGCATTACACTTAGTCATAAATGTATTCATACTCATAATGACCACAATTTCTCGATGATCTGGTTTGATATTCAAAACGTTGTCCCCCGTAGCTAACTGTAGTCGAGTCTATTGTTGCCCGCCCACATCCAATCAAACTACAAATTATCTACCTGTTAAGTAAAAACAAGTAAAAACGTAAAACTGCCAAACAGTTCACGATTATGCACTACGAAATACCCTAGAACATAAATTTATCAATGTTATGAATATATATTAATACGAAATATTGGGTATAAAAATATAATAATATATATGCTATATCGAAATTTTAGATAAGCAAATAGACATCGATAATTTTACTGGGTAAATAGTACAGGGTATTTCTAAAATACTTGACACTAATAAACATACAAATATCGTATGAAAATTCTTTAAACTTAAAGTTACAATTAGTTTAGAAAATACGAATGCATGTGTGTAGCTTATGCGACTTACGAGAGTATCTACTATTTACAGGGTATGTCTAGCAAATGCTGTAATCATCATTCATTAAGCATTTGGCAAGTGATTCATTTGTAGCATTGATTTATAGCGCACGTTCCAGTGTTGAGTGTTTTTAATTCTGCTCTAAGCGAGGGGTTTCAGGGATGAAGCAGAGGATGGGTTACCTGCAACACCTTCCGAAAGGTGGGTTAACCACAGTGTGTGGGTGTGTACAGCCCGTTAGCTGTATGCAAATTGCAAGTGTGCTCGATTCTCAGTGCTGATTCTCTTAATATATTTCGCCCGTAACCGGTTTCACATTAAAGAGCGAGTTGAGTTCTTGGTTGACCGAGGCCCAACCGCAAGTGAGTCAACGACTCAGCTACGATATTCACTCGATTATAGACCAAGTACAAAGTATAAATATGCAGAAATAATGCTGCAACATACTGTGATAACCAAACAAAACTTAAGCAAACTATGTAAATAGTATAAGTGAAAGCATTTGCTTTGTTAAGCCAAAGTGACAAATCAGGCACAGACAAACAACTAAGACCGAAGACAACAACGGGTGCTACACAATGAGACTACGAGATACCCTACGGTAACACCGAATGCACAGTTTGAATTAGTTGCATAATGTTCTTGTTAAGTTGCTTTTAACAATTTGTTACGATCTTATAATACTATACAAAAAAGTTCAATCAGTTAAAATCTCAGCCTCCATTTTACTAGCTTAGAATCGATATATATAGACTGCAATTCCTTATATATAAGATCAGAGCATATATTTTTATTAAATAACTTTTGGGAGAATTTGCTAAGATTGATTTGATTTATAGAAGATGCCAATATGAGCCCATATCTAAATATATGAATTAATTATAACTAGATAGGAAAAAATAACAATGTAGTCGTAAATGTTAACAAATATTTGCAGCACTCATTATACCCGTTAATTATCAGCTAATAAGTGCAGGGTATGACAAATGACATGAATCAGTCAAGAGAATCAGTGTTTTGTGCCGCGGGCGATTAAAAACGCGCCGATTATTTGTTTGGCACACGCGCCAAAACGATTGCTCATACGAAAACAACAACAATAACAACAACAAAAAATAACGCAAATTAATGATAAACATTAACATTTGCCATTATCAACTCCAATTGAAGTTGCATTTGTTGAGGTTGCAGTTGCACTCGCGATTTGTTAATTGTTGCAAAATGTGCTGCATAATTTTGCGGTTAATTGCCATGGCAAATCGCGCGCGCACAAAAGGTGCCGCCTGCGAAGCGTTTTTAGCAGCGATTTGCCCGCGTTTATCTTCTTTATTATTATTATTTTTTTTTTATCCAGCAAAAAGGTCGTGCTATTTAATTGAGGATGTGTAATTGGGGAATTGTAACCGAACGTTTACTCATATGATGCGCAATGTGTACTTATGCCTGGCAGTAAGAAAAAAAATGCCGCTTCTAAGTGTCTTGGGAGCGTTTCTCTCTACCTAAAGGTCAGACTTCCTCATTGTGTGCCAACCATGCGCAATGACAAATTCGGCACGTTTAGCTAGCAATCTTTCAGGCATTCAAGTTATTCTTAACATGTTTCAACACATATGAATATAATAGTATATAATAATGCAATTTAGCTTCTGTTTAATTTGTAATAGGTCATTAGATACTTATACTTACATTTATAATAAGAATTAATAATATATCTACAGTTTACTAGACAATTCAAATCTCTCGACATCCTCTAATAACATATTTAAAAATCAAAGAATCCTCTTAACAAATGTTCACTCGCATTTACTATGGAGCTTTAATGGGCCTGGTAAAATAGGTTTTTAACTATAAACCTATTTTGCAATTTGAAATAATCTCAATATACCTCATAAATTGCAGGAGGTTATTCTTATAAGTCAGAAAACAGAATATTTAAAAACGTTCACGTAAATTTTATTAAATTTGCATATCTTTTTGTAATTTTGCGTTTTATTAGCATTTTTTACCACTACAAAGTTTTATTAATATATTATACTAATGGAAAAGTTCCTTAGTGAGTTCCTTATTAATAGAAACTTATGCGGATATAATTCTCAATTAGTTAAAGCCCCAAAATGTCATTTGTTCAACTTAAGGTGTCTGCACTGGTCCTTTCCCCTGATATAATTCTCAATTTGTTAAAGCGCTTAATAGGCATATATTAAACTTAAGGTGTCTGCACTGGTCTTTTGAATACTCTCCCTAGTCCCCTGATAGAATATGCGTGTCACATCTAATACTAATTCGAATATGTTTTGTTTTTCTATTTTGCAGAAACGCTAATCGACATTTCAAACACCACGAAAACGCCACTATTTCCAAAGGACCTATTCACGAAAGAACAGCTTGAGAACGGCGCTGTCATCCTGCACATTATCGGTGTTATATATATGTTTGTGGCGCTGGCAATTGTCTGCGATGAATTCTTCGTGCCTTCCCTTGACGTAATCATTGAAAAGCTCGGCATCACGGACGATGTGGCCGGCGCAACGTTTATGGCGGCGGGTGGCAGTGCCCCGGAGCTCTTCACGAGTGTCATTGGCGTTTTCGTGTCGTTCGATGATGTTGGCATTGGTACGATTGTTGGATCTGCTGTCTTTAACATTCTCTTCGTGATTGGCATGTGTGCGTTATTCTCACGCACGGTCCTATCGTTGACCTGGTGGCCACTATTCCGTGATTGCTCATTCTATAGCATCAGTTTGCTGGTATTGATCTACTTTTTTCGCGACAATCGCATCTTCTGGTGGGAGGCGCTCATCCTGTTTACCATATACATTGCCTATGTGACCTTCATGAAGTGGAACGTACAGGTGGAGCATTGCGTCAAGAAGATGATTACCAAAAACAAGGTGACTCGCGTCCGAAGTACAGATCAACTTATGCCAGCAGTAAGTAGTTGGGAAGTTTTTTTGCAAACAAAATCCAAAAAAAAAAAAAAAAATAATAGTACTAAAATGTTAAATCGATAAAAGTCGTTTGAGAGAAAGCGAAATTGCAAATTGTCTGCAAAAATTAACGCAACGAAAATTTAAATCCTTTGCCAGGAATATATTTTCGTTTTTTAATCGCTTGCGTTTTAGTTTTTTTCCTCTTTGTTTCTTTGGCCCAGTAATTTTCCATACATTTTAAATGGGACTAAACAGTTGAACAGGTGTGCTAGTTACTATGACTAAGGGCTTGCGGAGAGACTGCAATCTTATATATAAGATAACTGCATGACTAACGCCATATGCGTCTTTGGCATTGAACGCCAGGTGATGATGATGATCATGATGATGATGCTGATCATGATGAGGAGGCTTATGAGTTGACAATAATTGACAGGCGCTCGAATTTCACCTTTGAGTTTTAACTCAAAGTCAATTGAGTTTTATTTTTTGTCAAACCAGTTCCAGGAACTGAAAGTGACCAAAGTCAGTCAGGGTCAAACAGAGAACTGCAGCTGAAACTTTAAGAAAATTTAAACAAATTCAACGAAATTATTTAAGTTGGGTTAGCTCATACTCTATGACGCATACAAAACTGTTATTTGTGTCGCTTTCCAGCACTGTTCAACTATAAAATTTCATGACATGATTAAATAAGTTGGGTTAGCTCATTCTTTTTGACGAGAAATATGAGTGCTTGTATAAACGTTTAACAATACTGGACAATTCAACAATCGAATTGCCTAGAAACTGCTTGACTGTTTTAAGTGACGCTTAATAACACTGGCCAACTGTCAACTGCTTAGTCACGGCACGTTTATTATTTTAAAACTCATTTTTAAAACTATATAGTTATATATTTATCTATCTCTAATTTAATCTTAAATCTAGCTCTTTATCTAGCGCTTAGCTTTTGTTTTATTTTTCTTTTCTCTCTTTCCAACACTTTCTCATTTGCTATGCCTCTTACGACTTGTTTAACCATATAAACAAATATGACCCATACACACACTCACACATACACCCACGCAACACACACAGAAGCTGTCACACTTACACACACGAACAACTTTGCATGCAGCCAATAGCAACTGTGCACAAACACACACACTCCCACACACACACACTCGCACAGCTTGAACGTGAATTCGATCTGAACTTGATTCTGGATTCTCGCTTGATTATCTCACTCGCTCACGCATGTATACAACTTTTTGGGCTCTAACTAGTTGCACCATTTTGTTCATAAATATTAACTTAATTTTATAAGCACACGCTTATTTTACGGGGGCAACAAACAGCGCTAAAATGGCGTAAAATAATTTGTTTAAAATGTTATGTGGTCTCTAACAAAATGGCATAAGTATATGTTTATATTGTTGAACCCTAAAGCATTTTATTTCGACTTACTACAGTCCACAATTCTTTATTAAATACTACTTAGGTTCTAAAACAAAGAAAGGCAAATTTAATAGCTACTTTGTGAAGAGAAACAGTTTTTCAATTTCCTATGTAGTTGTTTTCAGATTAAACTAATTTAAATAATAGACTGGTGTTGTTCTTTCTTGTAACTTAACTAAATCCCTTGATTCCCAAATCTTATGCAGTTCTTAACTATCAAAACATTATCAAATTTCTTTAAACGTACCGTTTTAGTTATGTTTTGATCTCTATATTGCTCCTGCATATTTTTTGCCAATTTTTTGCAAACATTTCTTAATTAAATTTCTGTAGAGAAAATGTTGCAACTTTTTATTTCCTTCATGTAAAGTGGAATGAATGTTAATAATGTAATATTTATAAATATGCGTAACTATTATGCTCTAGAGAATTCTAAAGTACACTTCAATCATAAAATATCTCATTTTGTGCCGATGCCGATTGGACACTTTTCATAGGCGAAGCAGGTGGTGCATGCCTTGGGGTTGGTGGAGGCGGTTGTCGTTTGCGGGGTAAGCGACTAGCATACGATATTATAGCAGGCGGTCCATCGACAAGATCCAAATTCTTATAATTGGATTTGGCCTCCTCAAGCTGTATCTCACACTCCACTTTTGTCTTGGTCAAACGGTGCCAAAGTCCGAGATCAAAGGATGTCAATTTAATGAATGTGTACGAGACAATGCGATAAAGCACCAAATAGCCCAGAATCAGGTATAGCGCATAATCGGAATGTTCAAAAAAATAATCGAACGGTGTTTTTTTATCGAGTTTTAAGTCCAGCCAGACGAACAGAAATGGAACAAATAACACCCAATACGCGACTATTGTACACACTTCCACGATTTGTTTTCCAAACATTTTAGCGAATCTTACACACGAACTGGTTGCGAACTGGACTGTAACTAATCGAACTGTTCCGGAAACAGAAGCTCACATATCGTTTGTATAGCTTTTGTGGTTAAAACTATATATAATACGACAAATATAGAGTTTGCTTAAATTTAAAGCGATGAGTTGCATTGGGCAAGGTGCTCGGACAATGAGTAGGTCATTAATCATGCGATTCGTGTATATCTGCTGGATCGGATTACTATATGATAAAGCTTTAAACGAAAGCAGAGTTTTTGTATGAAAAAATGGTTTTATCTTTTTTATGTTTAAAACAAAATTCTCAAAAATTTAGTTTTTGTATTGGACATTTTTTTATTCGACTTGCTAAAATAAATGTGTATAAAAAAAAAAGTATACTAAACAGTTTTGGAACAGCTTTGCTTGGTCTTGCCTTAACTCCAAACAAAATAATAGTTATGTTTTTTAAATAAATAAAAACAACTTTTTTTAAATTATTTCTTAATTGTTACATTCCTCATAAGACGGAGGGTGTTGCCTTTTCTGTTTTCGATTTTCCTTTTTGGATTGTTTTTGATGCACTCTCTCGACCGGGCGTGGTACATTGCGTGCCCGGCTCACCGACTGATGGCCATCCAGCTCGTCATCTTCCATATCCAGGGTGGTGGATGCGGTGTCCTGTTTTGGGTCAAGTCGTGGATCATTATCTGCATAATATTGTCTTTCTTGATTAATCATTTCTATAGTTGCGGGGTCGTATTTGACCCAGATTGTCATGGTCCACGTTCTGATTCGCAGATAAATGAGCACAATAAGTAGATAGGCCACCGGATAACATGCTGCCAGACACAGACCAAGAACACAGAACTCTTTAAACGATGAGAACATATTCGTTTCATCCCAAACGACCCATTTCTGTTCAAGGCAAAGCACTATGACCAGGGGCGCTATCACAATCCAGTACAGGACTAGTACAAAGATCTGAACACAGCTTTTCTGTATCATTTTTCACACCGATATTTTACTAGCTTCGCACATGAGTTTGCTTCGGGTTCAGCAATACAACTAAGTCAAGTGGAGTTAGTTTTAAATATGTTCTTTGACTCTTTTGCGGTTATACGAGAGTTAGTCAGTCAGCTTGTAAAGATTCTTTAAATAAAATAAGTATATAGTGCGCTTTGTTCTTGAAAGCTTCAAGAAATTCTTTTCAGAAACATAAAATTACCCAGAAATATGTCAAAAATACTCTTCGTATCTAATTTTTTCTTTTTAATTTAATAAATATATATTTTTGTTGATGGTCTATAATATCTCAAAATATACAGTGAATATGAGTTTAATTTAAAAGCGCGCTTGCAGCCTGGATTTAATAGTACGCTTTTTGGCGCCATCCGGAACGTCCAAGTATTTCTCCTCTACGCACTGGGCCTCAAGATCGTTTTTGCCATTTTTATACTTTTGATGCACCTTTTTTAGCGATTTTTTATCAAACTTTTTCAATTTCTTGTACATGAACATAACAATCCGATAGAATGTTACGAAACCCATCACATCGACAAGTCCGAAAATGAGAACTGCCCAAATTGTATCTCGCAAAGCACCAAAATCCAACAGCAGCCAACCCTTTTTTGTAAACTTATTATAGATGAAGGGCGTAAATATTAGCCAATATAAGATCACCACAAATATTTCCAAAAACTTTCTTTCAAACATTCTTGAAACTTGTTTTTCAGTTGAAGGAATTCTACATACTGATTAATTGAAACGATTTCTACTCTAGTACTTGTTACACAAAAGCTTTTATTTATTTTTATATCAAGAAAGTATTAATATTTAAGTTGCGGTTGTATGTGCTGCCATTAAATGGTCTAGGGAAGCTTACGGATATTTATTTTTAATCTTATTTCTTCCATATTGAGTTTTGTTGAGAATATTTATCAGATTATAACGTCTGCCGGGAGACACATATATATATGAAATATCTTATCAACTATTTAGCAAATTTATCATAAGGTTCATATTGTTCATAGGAACAATCATTTCAGAAATGCATTTTTTATTGTTAGGTTAGAAAATGTAGCGAATTTTTTGTTTTTTTTTTTTAATAACATTTATAAAATACTCACTGCAACAAAAATATACCGAACATTAATTACATGACAAGGAATACTTAATTTCTCAGCTTCAAAGTGCAATCCCCTCTGCACAGGTATTACGTTTCATTGTGTAATCCCCCATATAAAGACAATGAATTATTTATTTAACAAGCTTGCAATTTGTGCTATGCAGCTAGAACATTCTTTTATTTTAGCATATTTCATATAATAATATAATACATACACATATATATTTTAAATAGATAAACAGATAATAATATCTGGACTTAAAACTAGGTAATAAATATATGCAACTAAATTTCGAAAAGTACTCGCAAAAGTACTCGTATTCGCTAGCTAACATTAAAATGATATAAACAAAAAATATAATAACTCACTATATGATCTATTCCTTGTTACAAGAAGAGCTACCATGTAAGTTAGATTCGGAAAAAATTGGCTAAAATTGTGTCTCGACAAATATTGCGAATAATATTAGGTTTATCTTTGGTTCTTTGGCTAAGGCTAATACTTGGATGCAAATTCTATTTTTCTCTGTAAAGTACACCGAAGTGAAACCTATGTCTTCACCATGGTTGGTCTCAGCTGCTGTGAGGTGCCCATTAGGACATCAGGTGACATGATGATGCCATGGCTCAGCTTGCGGGCCATTCCCGGTGTGCGGGGCGGCGTGTTGGGCACAGGCGGTGCACACCGCAAACTGGGCGTGGGACTAGAGATGGTTGTCTGCTGCGGTTGTCTGGGCAATGTGGCGCTACGCAGCGGACGCGTCTCGTGTTTGATGTGAATACGCGCCAAATCGCTCTCCACCAGCAGTGGGTGGCTTATGGTGCGTATGACTTTCGGCATGGTAGTTGGTGGTCCGCCATCAACCGTGTCCAGATTCTCCGTAGATACAGCTTGATAATGTGATTTATCCTTTAGCTGCGATTCGGGATCCTCTTGTGTTTTCTTTAGCTTATGCCACATTTTAACATCGCACACTTTTAGCTTCATGTAGATAAAAATAACAATGCGATAAAAGGTCACATAGCCAGCGAGCAGGCAAAGCGCGAATGTGGCATGATCCGAGAACGATTGAAATGGTATATTTAGATCCCAACGTATCCAATTCTGGGTCTTGCAATATTGATATATGGCTGGCGTGATAACCATCCAGTAAAAGAGCAGCGTAAACAATTCGATAATCCTTTTTTGAAACATTTTTGTATTTGTCTTTCGTTGTCAAAGTAGCACGCGCCGCACGCTCCACACACACTCGCGTTCCGTTTAAATTTAATATTCGTTGCGTTTGGGTTCAAGATTCGTTACTAAATGATGTGCACAGAGCGCATAACCCAGCTATATAATACAAATCAACGATCAATGCAGCCAAGCTCAAAGCCCGAGCTCAGACGGCGACAGAGAATGACAGACTCTGAGTCAAAGCGAAAACCGAAGCGTTGCGAATCGCGCGAGTTATCTTTAGTCGATGTTAGACGAGTTGCTAGAGGCTGCTCTCTGATTTTTATTTTTTATCGATATCAGCTGGCATATAGCATTAGCTAGTCGTATCACTATATCGACTTGAACGTAAACAAAATCCCTGGAATATCTGCATTAATTCTTGGAACTGGTTTCGGGGTCTGCCCCACAGAGACAGGTGACAAGTGAATACATACATGTATATATTATATCTTTATATATACATATATATATATATATATTGAACCAAAACTGGTTGAGTGACAAATTGAGTCGTGTTGTGAGTTTTTCTCTTTTTGATTAACAGTTCGAGCAGGTTCATTGTATATTTTGCAATTTACATTTCTTAGATCATTGGGTCGACTTTGGTTTTTTTTTCTTGTCGTTTGGCAGGGCGAAATTTTCGAACTTGAGTTGAGTTTTTGAAATTGTGCACAAATGATTCACGCGAGTTTAAATTAAATTTATTATGCGATTTAAGCACCTGTAGTAACTGACGTTGCGCTGATGAATTTTGTGTTGAAGTAAATGCTTTTGGCATGATTCCACAACTCTTGGACTCGAAGAAAAATTTCATTTGGCTTTATATTAATTACACTTCATTTCGCTGTCAAAGTCTATCAAAACAAGCTGACATCTTGATGGAACAGCTTTAAATGCAGTTCGAGACAATTACTAATTCTTTCTACCAACTTGTTCCCTCTCTTTCTATTTTGATGACTTGACTCGTTCATCTCATAGATCCTCATCAATTTTACGTCATGGCCGAGTGGTTTTTGTCTTAACTCGTATGAGTCTTAGGCGAGCTGTCGTCTAAGCGTTCGATCGGGCAAAACAACATGACTTGCCATTAATTAGCATTATAATCAGCCATGAGGTAGTTCACCTGGGCACGAGCCACACGTTAATTGGTCAGAGGCTAGTTAGTTGGAGGCTAGTTTTCTTGATCTTGAATTGCCCTACACACGCCCCAGTTCTATAAAAGTGGCATACGTTCGGCATAGTATTATCTATGTAATAATATTTATGTATTTTACAAGAATTCGCTAAACTGCATTTGCTCCAATTCTGCGTTCATTTGTATGAATGGAAGGCGTTGTGGCTGGACAAGTTCTATTGCCAAACAAATAATCGTATTATATTATGTTAAATATATATGTATTCTTTTTCCTACAGTTTATAGCTCTTCGATTTTTTAAATGGAGCATAATCTGAATAGGCGTGATGTATAGACAAAGTTCATGCAGTTCATAGCCCGCACATTTTTTAAATGGAATGTAATCTGAATAAACGTGTTGCTTAAACAAATGCTTACGATAGCAAGTCTTATGATAACCCAACAATAACTAATCTTATATCTTGATATAGAAATAAATCGAGTATTTTCTAATCATGCATTGCTCGCGACATTAAATATGTTTATTACAAGAAATTTTCTAATCTGGACTTGCCCACATATTTAGATTTGACTTTTAATGAATGAAATACTATCTGGAAATACCTGTTCTTTAACAAACAGATAATGTTATATATAATATATATTCTTTAACCTAACTTGCCCTACACTCGCAGCAATTCTTAAATACTGATTTTTATGAATGAAATGCGAACAGGAGAAACCAGTTCTGTAAATACTCTTTGAATATGTATATACTAAGTATATATGTGTACTTTATTTAAGCTGGATTACTACACACGTGCTCCACTTTATGGCTCTGAGTGATTTTATGAATGGAATACGATCTGGATAGACGTGTTCTATTAACATATGCACAACAGTTTACATAACAGTCACACACACAAATATATATATTTAAAGTTCTTATAATATATGTATTAGCAAAGAATTTCTTATCTGTATACGTACTTGACATGTATTTACTATATCTTAACTAATTATCACCTGATAGTTATATATATGTATATATATTAGTCATTACTTAGCGCCATTCAACATTTTCATATATTTAGCTAGCGATAATTTTGATTTTTTCTCTCCTCGCACTTCTAGAGCTTTCTTTGGCCAGTCATAAATCTGAGCTTTAAGTTTTATTTCTGCATTATATTCAAAGATTTCTAATGTTTTTTAAGTTTTCTGTGTTTACATTTTTGATTATAGTGAAGGCAAAATGAAATACAACAAAACTTCCCACTGCGCTTTGATAATACAAAAAAAAAAGTATATATGTACATTTTTTTTCCTAATGAAACAAAAAAATACAAAAAAAAAGTCATTGAAAACTGAAGCTTGTATGTATACTTAAAAACAGTTGCAAAAAAAAAAAACAATGAAATTTGTATATTTTAGTTGAACTAAAAATCTTAACTTTATTTCCTGTATGTGTAATAATGTTTGTGTTTAATAATTTGGTTTCCTTCTTTTTTTTTTGTGTTTCCGAAAACCACTAAAAATCGAAATTCAGAGGTAATGGAATGCATTTCTAGCGCAAAGCCACATCATCAACTGTGGTGCTTTGTTATTGGGCCTGCTGATTACACCCAATGAATCCAGTTGTATGCACCTAACTATCTAAAAACCAATCCTGTTGTATATATAAAACTCTCCTTAAAGGTTTTTGCTGCACTATTGAAATGCATACATATTTGCTGCACTAGAACAAAACTATGTTTCATGCTGTTCAAACAACAAGCAGAGTTGTAATTTTGCATTAGAAAACCTCTTACCATGAATATGGAATTATGGTATAATTATTATAACGGAACTTGGTATATGGCTTATATGGGCGCTGCCGAGCTTAGTAAACAACAGATGTGGTCCGTATGTCTGGAAAATAAATTCGTTTCTGTCTGTATTACGTGTCGTGGTTTCCACATATGAATTTCATTTTTTGACATAATTTTCTTTAGTTAACTTTTTCGGTTTTTTTTTTTTATCTTAATATTGGCTACAATTAATTGCACTTAACAATTCGATTAGCTTTTAAGCGATACAACAGCTGAAAACAACAACAAAATACATACAACAAAACAGCAACTATTACAACTAATACCGAAAAAAAAAGAATACAACAACAACATCAACGCTCAACACTCAACTGTAAATTTATACAAATTGCAATAATAAACTTTTCTTCTTCTTCTTTTCACCTTTTTCTCAACAACAACAATGCTTACCATAAAAAAAAAAAACATTAAAAAAAACCTGCCCTCCCAAAAAAAAAAAACCATTTACACTGTTCTTAACAAAAAATGAAATGAAAATAAAATTGAAATACCTCTGAACTCTCAACATAACTGTAACCGTAACCGTAACCGTAACCGTACCACCCGTCCATCGTTCTTCCTTCACTTCAGGGTAATGCGGCAAACTCATCGGAAACGTCAATGGCCACACAGCCGGGCGGTTCGGTGACATCCCGAGCGGCCAGCGAGACCCGTTCGGGTCCGGCCGGTTCGAGCAATGCGGGCGCTACAGGTAATAGCAGTGGTGGGACCGCTGGTAGTACACAGACCGGTGCAAAATTCCGTCATGGCCTATTACAGCTAATGATACACACGATAGATCCACTACACGATGGTAAGTTCGTTGAGTTTGTCACATTGTGTTTTGCACAAGTCAAAAATAAAAAAAAAATAATAAAAATGGAAAATTTTAATGTGTGCCTAAACGCAAACCCCAGTCCGTTCCCCAAGCCCCATAATCAAAGAGTTCCCCGCCCCAAAGTACAAATATCCCATACCAAACGCTTACATCCTAAAACAAAAGCAAATACATTATACCAACTACTTATACTATACTATACCTAACTCTTAAAAATGAAAAGAAAATCTTGTTTGCTTCGGCTAGCCGAAGATTAAATACTCTTGCAGGCATGTGGTAGATATGCGAACTATTTCGTTAAGGTTATAAGTGACATATAAAGTTCTTCTGTTCTGGCATATATCATGGAAAACAAAGAAATTTTTCGATCTAGATGATACAGTATTTCTGACTCCGAATTATGTACTGCCTGGTTCTATGCAAAGTTTTATATAACTAAGATAATATGTACATGGAAAATTATACAAAATCAACCTTTATCTAAATCAGGTATAGGGATGTCTCTTTCCCCTCTGCAAGAGTATAAACCTTAAAATAAAAATAATAATAAAAAATACTTTGTGTTCAGTTCTTTAAAGTCTGTGTATATTCTGTGTTCCTTCTAATTGGATGTTTGACTTGCTAGCAAGAAGTTACTTACACTTTACTCTTTACTCTCTCTCTTTCTCTCTTGAATACTTGGTGATTTTCATTTTGTTTGGTTTGTTGTACGTTGCTTTGTTTGTTTGTTTGTTTGTCTGTCTCTCAGTTTCTTTGTTGACTTGACCTTTGGGCTGGTTAGTTTTTAATGCCTGACCTTGAGGCCACTTATCTAATTACCAGGGGCTAGCAGCACGGCCAGACTGAACGTCGTCTAGCGCTCGACAATTGACAGCTTTGCGCTGTACGCTTTATTCTACACTCCTTACACCCATTACCATTGCCATTACCAATCCCTCAGCACAGTGCTCCAGTTCAGGTCTACCCCTTAATGCCGAGCTTTTCCCTGGCATTTGGGGGGCACGTATTCGCCACTCGCTTCGACTCTGGCACCGGCACCGGCACCGGCACCGGACGTGCTCGCATTGATTTATTATGTATTAAGCACAGAGCCGACTGGATTGGATTGGGGCATGAGCATTGGTACGGGTATGGACTGGGGTATAAATATGTATGGGGCCATGTTGCCACGGCAATGGCCCACAGACCAAGACCAAGACAAACTCAAACTTAAACTTAAGCTGAAGCCAAAGCTTAAACTATACCAAACCAGCCAGGGCCAGGCCGACATTGGGGCGTGTACCAAGGTTTACAGGTACAAAGTGCTCGAATTCTTTTTGTCATTTTTTATTCTTGCACCGATAGCGACAAAATTAATTGACAATGTGATTTTGATCGTGTGGGAAAATTTTAAAATAGAGATCAATTCGAAACAAACAATTCAAGCAGAATTTTCTAAGGCTCACTAAATCTTTGATCTAATTTCCTTAACTCAAGCATTTTTTGTAGTTATCGCTACATTATCTATATCTGTGGGTTTATCTTGTCTCTAGCATTTCCAAAAATTGCTTAGTTTATATTTAATTATTATTGGTTTTTCTTCTAACGCTTCAATGCCAAATCTTTTCATTTGTGCTGCCTCATTAAAATGTAATTTGCTTTTCTAATTTTTATTATTTCGAGCTTAGTCATTTCTTTATATAATTTTGCTTTGAAAAAAATAAATAACAAAACAAAAACAAAAAAATGAGACCAAGTTACGAAAATATTTTATGTTGTTCAATGTCAGTTTGGAGTTACATTTATATACTATATACATATGCGTTATATATTAAACTATATTTATGAAATACTTAATAACTTGTATTCGATAGACATTCATAGAATGTTGTGCGCAGCTTAGTGGCATTAACGAATGTAAGAATACACTCGTTTATATTTATGAGTGAATAGTTATTCGTATCTGTATCTGTATCTTTAGGATTGTTTTGGTTGCCAACGTTCCATTGCTTCGTTTGAAGAGTTATGTTTGGTTTTATTTGTGCTTCTGTTTTTTGCGACCGTCAAGTTTGACGCGTGACAATAACAAAATAATTTATATTGTACATATAACATTTATATTTATATATCTTACATATTTATAAACAATGTGTGCATTTAATGTTGTATGTGTTAATTGTAATTACTTAGCAACTAGTACAATTGGCTTTACAAAAATGCTGTTCGAAATTGGCCCGGGCCTAGTACGAGCTACAATCTATCAGATATTCAATTGTACTTAATAGCTACAAGTTATTAGCTAGGTGCCTGCATGTATCAAGTTGACTAGTCGAGCGGGTTGTGTTTTTAATTTTTTCTTTAGGTCTAAACGTTTATATTTACCTATCATTGGAATGTTCATTGTGCTGACAATGTTTACATATGTTTTCAAATGTGCTTTATACGTAATGTGGCTATATAAAAATACATATGACGGTTATACTGAGGGAGATGCGTTAAAACAATGAAATTATAGTAATCTCTATCAATATTTAATAGATTTTTATAGCAACAGCCCCATTTAGTCAGCCCTATCGTCATTTGGGAAAGTTCCTCAATAAAACTTGATCGATACTAAAACCAGTTGCGTGCATTTAATTATCTGAGTTCTATTATTGAAAATTTAAAAAATACTCACTACTTCAATTAGGACTTGTTCTTCAAAAATTACTCAATTAACTGTTTTCTTAAATATTCAAAAAAATATATATATAAAAATCTATTGCTTTATGGACATAATAATTATTCAAACAAGTCTCTTGAGAGAAATATTTTTGTATCCATTAAATACCTATTTGAAAGACATTCAAAATAATTTTTATCCATATGATACTTATCTTATAATTGGCAACTATTAAAGCTTATAAAAGCTTATCAAATATTACCGCATTTGCAATTATATATCTGAATACTGTCACACGTTTTACAACACTGGAAGAGTCGTTATCCAAACCGTTTTTGCAATTAATAAATCTAATTCCTTGACTGCGTTTTACAGCACTGGAAGATTCATACTGTAATGCAAAACTCTATAAATCTAAAAATACTTATTCAATATAATAATAATATCAAGCTGGGCGGCTTAAGCATTTTTGTCAATTCTAGATTGCAAATACCTTGTCGCCTTTTCAAAGATTTTACTTGTTAAAAATTGCGAGTTGAACCAAGGTCGATTTTCTATTCTGACGATAGTTTAAATTAGTTTGCTATTGTGGTGCACATCAAAAAATAAAATATGAATATGTTTCAGCGCTACCCAATGTATAATTCCCATCACATGTACGTAATGTAAAGCATTTAAAGCTTTATTCATCTGAAGAGCATGGGGTTAATGTTTCTCGTATAAATACCGTCATAAATAATACTCGTGTGTCAGAAGTTGCATAACAAGCAAATCTATATATATTAGATCTAGTTAAGTCGTATTTACAATAGTATATATTTAATTATAAGCTAGGCTTAAATCTAAGTTTATCTCTATTCATCGATATGAACACATATGTATATGTATATACAAAATGCTAGTGCCATATGCGATATTATGGGGTCCACAAAAAGCAGCTCTTTAGCAGCAGCAGTCGGTTAATAAGCCCCAGTATGTATCACTTCATGCCACATTGACAACAAAAACAAAAAACTACCAAAGAAAAATAATGAATAATATAAACCCGTCCGTATTCCCAAGCCAAAATTAATTCGCATTCAATCCAAAACCTCAAAACTTTCAAAAACAAAAAAAAAATCAACATATAATAACAAACTATTCAAAACAGTTCCCAATTCCTAGTGCAAAACACAAGATCGCTGTCACACTCAAAAAAAAAAAAAAAAACTTAAAAAAGTTTAAAAAATATAAAAACAATTTTTAAAAGTTAGACCAAAAATCCATGAGACTCTGACACGGTAAATATCAGTAGTGTATTCGTTTAGTAATTATATCTAGCATAATTAGTCTTAGCTGTAGTTTCGTATGTCCCGAGCCCAATAAAACACGCCCAACCCTCCCCTTCTCTAACAATCACTCTCAATACACTCATGTGCGCAACTCCGCCCTCAACTATGCTTCGATTTCAATGCTGTTTAATGTGTGTCTGTGCCTACACTGTCCTACTAGCTTTCTAAACTCTACGCTCTCTAGTCTATACCTCAACTTTAGTTTAGTTTCTAACCTACTAGCTATTACTTTACTACTACTATTACATACTATGATAATCAACCTCCAAAATGCTATTTCGCAACTGACATCAACATTTTGTATAAAATATTTTCAATATACTCTAACCCAAAAAAAAAGGGCATTTAGCTGCTTGTAAATTAACTTAAAACCAATGAAAAATATTTATAAAAAAAGATATGAAAAATATATTTAACTGGGTTAATTCGTTTTATTCTAATTTTTAATCGATGCAATTTTATTCTTTCTTTCTTCTTCTTTTATTCGTTTAATTTTTGAAAAAAAAATAATAATAATAAACACTTGGATTTTGCGTTCAAAACTCAATTTGTTGTGTGCAAACAAAACAAAATACTACAAAAACACCGCCTACTACTCTACTCTACTCTTCTACTGCTACCACAACAACAACACACAAACATACTCTACACTCTACTCTGTGTATGCATTTTTTTATCGAAACACCTCCCTCAAAAAAAAACCCAACACACAATTACAATGACAAAGATGATGTTCCAGGCAAAGTGGACGAGAAGGCAACCCAGCTGCATGCCATTGCCTCGCTTAAAGTACTGCTGGATGCCACTAAGCCGCAACGCGGTGGCGCCACCACCTCAGCGGCCAATCACGTTAAGATTAATCTCAAGGAGACAACATTGGCCGATCGACCCAATGGAAATATCGATACCACGCTCGATTCGGTAAGTTGTAACGTTGTGATTATTATTATTGCCTAATACTACATCTATATATACATGATTATTGAATTTGATAATACAAATGTGCTAATGAAATAATGCTCATGATTTTTAGGCATGATTTATATTAATTTCTTTTTAATGGATTTCTTTAACATATTTATTTTTGATATTGTTTCAATTTGTTCGAAAATAATTGAACTATGTCACACATAATGCGCTGCATTCGTCATACAAAATATCGCAGATGAATATCTTAAATTTTGATCATCGTTTAATTTGAATATCGTAAACGTTGAATATCGTAAGGTCGAATATCGTATGTTGAAAAAAAAAAACGGCAGCTGTAAAATGTAGTATGTGGAGCATACTCAAACGCGTATTTAATTACAATATTAACAATGTTAGGTGAATCTATTCCACAGAATTGCGTATCTACTGTAATATGTTAAGTGTTTTTTATTGACGTAATTATATATTTTATTTAAAAATCTTCTGATCGTTTATTTTCTAACCCAGTGTTTAGAGTACCAGGTTCAAGCGCGTTACAACATTTTTTTAGATCATTTACAACAAATTTCCTTAACTGTTGGCACGTTTTCTCTACATTGCTAATTTGATTGGTAAAATGATTGATGCGTTTGGACTGAACCTAAACTACTCGTAAAACCCAAATTTTAAACATGTATGTTTTTTAATGTAAGCCCAGGCATTCGTTTTATGTGTATTTCTTATGTGTTTTCCTCATTTTCTTTGCTCTCCTTGAAGCTCAACTCTTAAGTGTGTAGACAGCCCCTCAAAAAAAAAAAATATAAATAAAATCAACATATGCGGTCTCTGTGTATTTATGCAACGTTTCTGTGTGACTTATAAATTTAAATCTTTCTGTTTTACTTTCAACTTAATTATATCAATTTTCCATACAACTTTCCCACCTACAACACATCTCAGCCCGTCAACTTTTCACCAACCTTTTGTTGTGTATGTTTACTTATAACCTTAACTGTAATACTCTATCGCCCATGTCCACCATTCCATTCATCTCTCTATATCTTTCTATCTGTCCATCTCTCTCTCTCTCTCTCTATCTCTGTGTGTGCGTGTGTTCTGTGTCTTGCCTAACCCTCAACCAAACACTATATAAAACTAATAAAGAGCCTATACGGAATTGTCAAATTTTAACCAATTTTACGATTATCGTTTATGCAGACACCATTTGGAACCAATCATTTGCTTTGTATCTTGAATTTTGAAACGTAATGCCTAGTGTTAAACGAATGATGGCAACTCGCATTTAATAATAGCCAAAAACCAAATTAGACAAAACCGAACACCATGTTTTATATTCACAATATTATGTCATATTTTCTTTATATCGAACATGAATTTTCACTCATATTTTCATACATATGTTGTGCTGCTGTTCGATGAAGTCATTCCAATAATCAGCTATTCAGGCATTCCCAGGCACTCATTGCAATTTTTAGCTGCCACGCGCTGTGCCAGAAACCTGCTACGCTATGCAATTGCCAATTCACACACCCATCGTATCCACACCCACAACACAATCATCTAGCTGTGTGTGTGTGTGTGCCTGTAACAAATATCGTTAATTTTTATTGTTGACATTTTGTTATTAAAGATGAATTTTAATGCATAGGCGCTAGCACTGGGCCAAGCAGCTGCTCATATCAATATATAATTATTTTTTTATTTATTTTTGATTTGTGCATTAAGATGACAAAGCAAACAAACAAAATTCAAAGACAATTCAATCGCTATACAATAAATGTTTCATTTGAATGCGACTCTCAATCGACATTGAAGCGTGAACCCACTTCCGAGTTGGGCCTGAGTCACAAAATTGAAAACCAAATTTTAAAAATAAAAAAAAATAAGCATATTCAACAAAATTTCAAGAAAATAAAAATAAATAAAATAAATTAATTCCACTATGCTCTCCACAGTCCCACACTCAAAAAAATTGTAATTGTGTTCGATTCCCGTTCAATATGTGTTTGTTATGTAATAACCCAGAACAAGAAAACTCCCTCAACACAACTTTCCATTACTGTCTCTCTCTCTCTCTCTATCTTACTACTCTATCTCCCAGTCTGTCTATCTGTCTCTAAACAAAGTTTGGTTTATTAATCAAGTATTATTTCCATAGCTGAACTAAAAACTTAAGCAAAAAGGCAAAAATTCACTAATATTCTCAACAAAAATATATAATTTTCTTTAAAAAATATTTAAAATTAAAAATAAAGAATTATTAAAATGAATTCTAAACTTAAATTCAATTCTATATCAAAAGCCATCGTTAAGTGGTCGACGTCCTAGCTGGATTGAGCAGAGGGTCAAAATTCAGACACGCAAATTTAGCATCAAAGTTAGTTTCATAAACAATTTATTTATTGCTCTCTCTCTCTCTCTCTCTCTATCTCTCTATCTCTGTCTTCTCTATATATTGCATACAAATTTTTATAATTATAATTTTTTATTACAAATATCGTAAGAATTATAAATATATATCATTGCATTGTGTAGAAAGCGACGTCAGCGATAAACTGAGACAAGTCTGACGTTGTTTTAAAGCGCAAGCGTATTGATTTGAACTCTCCTGCGCAGTGGAATGCGAGGGCAATAGCAAGTGGCAAATGGCAGTGGATCAAATAGGTTCTCGCACCCAACTGTCTAGAAGATGAGGCACTCGGCATTATCAATTTGCATATAATCGATTTGAATATTTTAATTGCTTATGTCCGTGACTATAATTTGATGGAAGACAGGTATATCGTAAATATAGGTGGGGCCTTAAAAAAATGCGTTAAACCTAAATATTGTTGAGTAAATATTGAAAAAATGGTTGGGTAATTACTGTTTGCACGAATAACACGATATCGAATATCGTAAATTTAATGTATCGAAATAAAAAATAACTAGTAAAGAACGAAAATCGTAAATCTACTTTACATATTAGCACATAACAGAGCTTAAAGCTCTGCTAAAAAATCAGATGTGAATAGTGTAACTTAATATATAGAATATATCGCCATTTCATAATTACTATATACATATATTCTACTCGTTGGCTGCAATATCGAAAAACACGTATTGCAGCTGGTACGCGAAGCGCCACCCATATGGCACATGTCTTCGAGCCTACTCATAGAACAGACCATGATTAACCCCACTCTTCGATTTAATACTAATTATGACTCATTTGGGTAAAACTGAACAATACGTAATTTAATATTCGATACATTTCGAATGACGTCAGGGCGTAACTTGTCATCAACCACAGTGCAACCATTGCCCAGGAGCGTAAAACAATTACCACAGACGCCACTAGCTTAGAATATATATCAATGAATTTTATACCTACTTATCTACTTTGCTATATTGCAAGTGTTAAGAGTATTTTCACTCACATTGCTTTAGTGCTGCTTACAAAAAAACGTAGCTATACACACTTTTTAACCATAGCTAATTAGTAATTTTTCGAAATATCATATGTATAACTATATTTAACATATTTTACTTTCTATTTTCGTTACACTTTGATCGACTTTAGTTCGGGCTGTGCCCATGCGCATCCATTGAGAGTGTGTGTGTGTGTGTGCGTATGTGTGTAGCCTGTCTATGTATGTATGCTTGCACTAGCCAAACCAAAAAAAAAATAAAAAAATTCAATGAGCATGCCTAATAAGAAACTAAGATGCTGAAATCTGTGCACGTAACAATACTCGTATAGCACCTACTAAAAATTGTACTCGTTAATTAGAAAGTAAGTGCATAACTATTTGTGTTTGTACTTAAACAAAATAAAATACACATTATTTAGACTCTGGCCACACTTAACTTGTACCAATTTTTATACGCACCATTTTACCTAATGACGTACTTACCTAGAGTCCTTATGGCTATGCAAAGCTCTAAACACCTGTCTGTGAGTGCGTCTCCACAAATCGAAATCTGTTGTCAAAATCAAGCTCAAAACTCTTGATCTGATAAAAACAAAACATACCTCGTATTATCAACAGTCTCATATGTATACACATAGCCAAATCACATATATCATACAATATTTTCATATCAGACTCACATAAATATATATTTTATATACTAACAAATTACATACGATATATATATTATTCTATTATACATAATCTTATTTGAAGTCAACATTTATTGTACAAAAATCAAAAAAAAAAAAAAAAAACAAGAAGAAGAAACCAAACAAATTAAAGCACCGAACAAGCATCAACTTTAACATTTTATAATATATATATTCATATCCATATTATATACGAAATGAAAGGCGCCTGAAATAATCGAGGACGAACCGGAGCCCCTGAGCATGGCCTGGCCGGATACGGCTCGCAAGCGGCTCACCTACGTCCTGGTCGCCCCACTTCTGGTGCCCATGTGGCTAACATTGCCCGATACGCGAACGCCGCGCGGCAAACGTTTCTTTCCGGTCACCTTTATAGGCTCCATCGTGTGGATAGCCGCCTTTTCCTACCTCATGGTTTGGTGGGCCAATGTCATTGGTGACACAGCGCGCATACCCCCAGAGGTAGGTTCAGTTCAGAGAATTTAAGAATTTCAATTATGAACATTTTGGTGCATTGTATCGCATTATAAAAGTTTAAGACCTAGAAACTAAAACTAACTAACTAAGAGCCACTCGTACGAATGTAAATATAGATTTATTTTTTTGTAGTTTTCAGTTTATTTCTGAAAAAAAATTCTTAAATAATTTTAAACGGATTTATAAATTCTTTTACGTTCCATTTGGCTCTATTTTAACTGAAATTACTATTTTTATTTTCGTCTCAAGGTTATGGGCCTAACATTCTTGGCGGCAGGCACATCTATACCGGATTTGATAACGTCGGTGATTGTGGCGCGCAAAGGTTTTGGCGACATGGCTGTGTCCAGTTCGGTGGGCAGCAACATCTTCGATGTGACTGTGGGGTAAGTGAAAGTACCATTTTATATTATATATATATAGATATGTATAGATTTGAGATTGAGGCTAGAGACTAATTTTGACTTATATCTGATGTTTGGATATGTAGCCTACCGATACCCTGGCTGATCTATGGGATTATCTACGATGCGCCCGTTGAAGTGAACTCGGTGGGCATGGTCTGTTCCATAACCATATTGTTTATGATGCTCGTATTTGTGGTGCTATCAATTGCCTGCTTCCGTTGGCGCATGAACAAGGGGTTGGGCTTTACCATGTTTCTGTTGTACTTTGTCTTTGTTGCCGTTTCGCTGATGTTCGAATATGATTTGATCACTTGCCCCTTCTAAACACCACAGACGTGGGCAAAATTGCAGCAACAAAAACTCTGCAACAAAGTCAAATGTGACACACACCTACACACTCTCTCTCATACACACATATACACTCACACACACACACACACACGTACAATGCGCAAACCAATTAGCTAAATTTATATACAAAACAAATTAATGAATTAAATTAACAAATTGACTAAGCTAATCGAATTGTTAAAAAAATGAAATGCATAAATCACGACACACACGAAGAAGCAAAACTAAAAGCAAAACAAAAACGAATACGAATACGATGAGCAAAACAAAAAGCAGAAACAACAAAAGTAAACTTTAATATAAAAAAACGAGTTAGTTAGTGCTATGTGCAGCGTTTTTCCTTTTTCAACAAAAGAGACATTTACTTTAAATGTTTAGCCGCAGCTTTTTAAGCAGTTATTAAAAAAAAAAGAGAGCCAACAACCTATAAAACGACACTTACACACTCACACAAAACTCTTAGCTTTATCTATCTATCTATCCTTCTCTCTACTTGAACTATGAACCTTAACAAACTTATCCATAATTGATTACCTACTAATTAGAAAGAAAAAAACCAAAAATAATGGCTTCCCAATCAATTACTTTACTTAAGCGTTTGGGTTTTTTAATTACTACTAATTACGATTATATAAAATCTTAGTCCTAACTTGGCACATGCACCTTCTGTACGTTATGAAACAAGACAGCCATTATGTTGAGCATATTTTTTATAACTCTGCAAGTGTTGGGCAGCATCTTTCAATCTTTCAGACGAGCTACTTAACTGAATTTGAGCTTTAACTTCTTCAGAATTCCAAACGAATATGGCCACACATTTTTAGATCACAATGTGTGCTAAACTTTTAACACACATGGATTTGCCAAGTGAATCCTTAACTGTTTTAGAACTCTACGCAAAAATAGCTTTTAGGTCCAACTTGTGTTGACTAGCCTGACTAGAACTTTGTGAGAATTAAATTCAAAAGCTGTTTAGACCATTGAGTATTCTAAAGTTTTAAAAGCTAAAAACAAATGGAAGCATTTTCCAAGTCAATAGTGTTTTGAGTCCTTCAACAGTTTTCAGATAAACGTATGTTGACAATTTTCAGAGCTAAACTCTCCAACACTTGGCGCTCTCCAATACTTTGATTTGCATGCTCCACCAACTATAAATTGTTCTAAAAATTTTCCAAAATCTATAAAAAAAAAAAACCAAAATTAAAACATAAAGAAAGCTTTACGCCAAACAGAGCCTAAATCAGTCTAGTTTTACGAAACTTTTGCTATATATAAAACTTATATACCACACGCACACTTGCATCGCATATATATACTTACTTATATATTGACCTATATTAATTAAGTGATAATTTGCGTACTTATTAAACAAAGAATAACTATACTCAAAAGCAAAAATAAAACAAAATAAAAACTCTAAATATATAAATAATAATACTAGGAATACTTTGAAAAGAAAACAAACAAAAATGATAAAACATTTTGCTAAGCATTTGTCATACATAATTTTAAAACGTGACGCTCGATCGAAAATTTACGACTAATCATTATTGTTATATTATGATTATTATTATGATTAAAACTTATGATTCTTGTTGGCGTGTCAAAGGTGCAGTTATTTCAATTTAAATAATATTTATTGATAGACTACATACAACAACAACAACAACAACAACAACAACAAAAACAATTCGAAAGAAAAAAAAACTAAATGATATTTATTATTTCATATACTTTTTTCCTAATCAAGCCCCTGTGTGTATATATATATACAAATATGATGAGCATATACACATATTTATATATATACGACATGTAAAAGAAACAAAACAATATTTAAGCAAAGAAAAAACTTGCTCTCTTTATTTAGAACGTACGTAACAATTTTCTTAACTAAACCTAAAATCTTAAACCTTAAATCGTAAACTCAAAAAAAAAACGGCCGTAAGCAAAAAAGAAGCAAAGAAATAAAAAACCAACTTAACATAAAAGCGCATTACATATATACATACTTATATATACATATATATATATATTTTATATATAAAGAAACGATAAAAACTTAAAGTATATATAAATATATATATGCAAATGTAACTTAAGTAGGCAATATATCCAAAGATAACCCAAAATGTTTGCATATGGCTCGCAAATTAAAGTTGAGGAAACCAAAAATACTATTAAAAAAAAAAGGAAAAGCAAAACAAAAAATACTATAAAAAAACACACACACATGAAACAAACACATGAACAAACAACAACAAAAACACAGAACAGAAAGCAATAATTTTTACAACAAGGCGAAGGCGAATAAATTTAAATGAAAACTAGTGGCAGTGACATAACCTTATATATATATATATATATAAATATATATACTACTACATATAATACCACGGAATTAAGATAAAAAAAAAAGTTTTTTAAAGCACGGCCAAGAAACATAATAACAACAACAAACATTGCAAACGAGACTACCGGAGTTTAGCCCCAGCTGTTGTATAGACTAGTCAAAGCCATCAGATATACTTATATATAAATATATACATACATACCTAAAAATAAAAGAATATATATATATATATATATGTACCTTGAAAGGTAAAGAAGTGTGTATGCTCTTACACCCCATGGGTGGTGCAGTGCATATATAAATGCACATATACATTCTTATTATATGGACATACATACGAGATTATAATTACAATGCAAAAAATTAACAGAGAACACCAAAATACCATAAAAAAAAAGGAAAGAATAAAAACAAAACTTTTACATTGTATTAATACAACGAGGCATATATATTAAGTACGTCACGCTAACTACCGTGCTTAGCCAAATGCTCGATAAACCACAGCTACAACATGGCACTAGAAACCACCACACACCACCACCACCACCACCACCACACGACATTTAATCGTATATGGTCGACAAGCCAAAGGAACTCGAAAGGTGCGACATTGAGAGCGACATAGTTGCAGTTATACTTATTAACTTTATTTGTTCTAAAATGAATCCATCTAACGACTAAATAGCTCACTCTTCAAGCCCTAGCAATACGCTCTAATTAAAGTAATCTACTTGTTTTAGTTATTAACACTTTAATATGTTATCTAGCTGTTTCTTAAATCAAGGGCCTCAAAGCTCGAGCTCGAGTCTCCAAATGCTTGCCACATTTAATTCTCCTCCTGTCTTTTCACTGCAGATGAATTCATGCGGCACTTGAAAAGGATTTTTTATAGAGAGTAAAAATTATATATCACGAAATCTGATAATTTTAAATTGTCGTTATCTATAGTCCTTATATAATTCTAAGATCAAGTCTGGAAAGGCTTTATAGAGTAGGCCAAGCATAGACGAAAACAATATTTAGCCCGATATTCAGTTGAGCAATTCAGTCCAATTTATATAGAATACTTGAAGAAAAGGGATTTGCGGCACTGTTAAAATTTATTTGCAGCCTTTTTATAAATTTACCAAAGAACCTTCCCATACTATTGATCTTGTGCTGTTTAATTACACTCTACATTCGCTCTCATATTTCACTTCATTGTCAATGCCGCAAAAGTTCGTGTGCGTCTATAACCGACCATATATGTGATATAGTAAGTCTCTTAACTAGACTCTCTCAACATTCTCAACTCGGACGCTCACTCTCACGTAAAGATCAATGGTGGGCTCGGGAACGTAGAGCAATCGGAAATATCAAGGACAATTGAATTGCTTTTAAATAAAGATAACTTCCAGTACTTACAAAGCGAATCGAAGAACAATTAACATAAACTTTTATACATGCTGTATATGGTTAAAACTAAACTATAATCTTCCAAATTAAATGTAATACCAAAAACCAAATGCATACGAGTACATACTTATATAAACATATATAAAAACATATATATTATACGATATATATATATACATACTGAATACTAAAAACAAACAAACTTACTTATTTAGTACATAACACCCAGCACATACGCCTACACACACACACCCACATCCCACACACACACACACACACACACACACACACAACACACTCATTTACACTCACTTAAAACATATCGCGCCCACTTTTCTCTATAAAGTACTACGAACGAGTACAAAAACATATGTAGAACTAACTATAGTAAAAAGTATTTCAACAAAAATAAGTAAAAATACTAATCGACAAAATTTATGAAAAATTGTTAATCAACTAGCATTCCCTATGGAATATTCGTATACTACTATATACTTTCGAAGCACTTTCTCTCTAAAAACCGATTACCCAAACCATAGAGTGCAGTACAAATGTCAGCGTCTGTTAACATTTACAAAAGACAACAAACAATCAAATCAAAATAAATGACACACACTCAAAAACCTGCATATAATAATCAAGATCGGAATCAGCGTAGTTAGCATCAATTGTTCAATCATATTCAGAACTCAAACTCCTTTCAACTCCCAGATCCTAACTCAAAAAAAAAAAAAAAAAAAAAAAACGCACACCAACACGCACTTGTCAAGTGGGAGTCGTTAAAGTCTCGCTTTAAAGCAACTTATATAAGATTATATATATATACAAGAAATATATATATATATATGAGAAATTGTTATGGTTATAGATTTTTAACAAGTTGAATAATTGCGTAACAAGAAAAACAAAAAAAAAATGTCAAACCAAAAAAAAATTGTTGAAAAATTAGTAAAAATGTTCATAACATACAAATGAAGCGTAACGGAGCAAGAAATAAAATTAAATTAAATGATTAATGAATAATAAAAATACAGTATATACTTTATGAAATATTTAACTTACAAATAATAAAAAAAAATCATTGTTTGAAATTAAAGTGAAAAAAAAAAAAACTGAAAAGCCTAAAAAAAAAATATTAACTCGCGTACAATTCCTGTGTCTGCTAATTTTATCCTTGACCAAATTTTATTTAAGTTACAGCTTAAATCGCCGTAAGTATTACCCAAAATTTTCATTTTTACTAAACAATTGGCATTTGAAAATTCCATAGAAATTCTAAAATATGAAATTAGCAAACACATAGCACCGACAAACAATTACTGGCCGCTACATAACTCGAACTCGCGGGTACAGTTGAG